GGCGTAACAGCCCCCCAATGGGGCTTAATCCTCCTTAATCTTTCCGACGAAGACTTCCCAGTAGTTGCCTCCTAACCCCAAGACGCGGAGAACTCTTTTTCAGAAGGCGGGGGGGTTTCTGAGAAATCCCGCCGCTTTCGGAGAAGACGTTCTCCTCCTGAGTTCCCCCCCGCGCTCGCAGCTGAAGTGAAGCCTTCCTTGAAGCCTCTGAACGCCGCTTTCGAGGCCCCTGAAGGTTGTCTAGTTGCGTCTCCATGGACATCCCGTGGCAACCCAGAGCGGCCAGGAGGCTTGGCCGTCGTCCCCCCCCTTTTGGGGCGCAGTGGGCGGGGCTAGAGAAACAGGGGGCAATATACGAAGGACGGGAGAATTCGGTAGCAAATCGTGGGAGCCTAGTATGCCCTCTTAATTCCGCAGCGTCGACAGCGTCGATTCGCGTCTGGGAGTCGACGAGGTAGCGCCCATTCAGCGTCGGTTAGCGTCGATTAGCGTCGACTTAGCGTCGATTAGCGTCGATTTGGCGTCGGTTAGCGTCGATTCGCAAGAGCCGACTAAAAGGGATGCGAGGCTCCGGAGAGTTGCCACCCAAGGAGAACAAAGCACAAGACAGCAGCCCAGCAGCATTGTTCACGGCCCTTCGAGCCGCATTCTGACGTTGGCAGTTGCTGCTTTCGGTGAAGCGGTCGTCTACGATGACGATTTGGCCTGTGTATCAACGGCTGGGCATGTTTGCATGTCTTGCAACCTGGACGATCTCCGTGGCAGCCACGGACGAGGAACCGCAACGACCACACTTGCCTGGAGTCCAGCGCGTGTCGACGAACCAACCTTTCGGAGTTCCGCGCGTATTGTTTGGGTCGGCTCTGGAGCCTTCCTGGCAGTGCCTCCAGCGCCGCCTCTGGCGCGCGAAGCTCGCCAGGGTAGAGGACCCCATCGTCGACCCGAAAACTCCGCGCGGACCTCCGAAAGCTGATTGTTCTGTCGATCGTGTTCTATTAAGCTTGCAACCTGTGCGTGTGTGTCCACGAGCCAGAACTGTCAGAACGCCTCAGGTCCAGCTTTGCAGAGCTCTCCGTGTCTCGAGCTCCCGCGCGAGTCTTGCCAGCCTTTGTAGGCGGCCCCGAGCCCAGTCTCGCCATGGCAGCCGCGGAAGAGGAGCTTCCCGATTTCGACGAGGACAACGACAAGGAGGCCAAGGATCGAAGAACAGAAATCGTCGCATTCATACAGCCGACGCGCTAAAATGAGGACCATGTTAGGTTCCCTCTTAGCTTCAGGAGCGGTTCTACTTTTCGGGGTGCTCCTCATATCTAGGTCGTAGTTGTTCGTGGCCTAGGCTCGCTGTGGCCAGAAAACCCTTCCGCTTTGTTTTTGTGTTCCTCATGGTAGCACGATGCCCGTACACATTCGGAGGTCCGCGTGGGTTTTTTTTGGTCGGCGCTGGAGCCCCCCGGCGGAGCCTCTAGCGCCGCCCCTTCGCGCGCCAAGTCCCAAGAAGTCCCGTAAAGTCCCAGGGTGGGCCCAACGCCGTCCCAAGACATCCGCGCGGATCTCCGACAGTTTCTGAGCACACGTTCTTGCGGTCGTCCGCAGGAGGAGCCGAAAGAGGGAGACGACAAGAAGAAGGGCAGCTATGCCAACATTCATGCCACAGGCAGACGGCGCAGAGAGGAAGGGGGCAGTCGCGCGGGCGCTCGCGCGCTCGAGCTGCCCGCGCGAGGTCGGCCGGGGGTTGGCTCTTTCCCGCGCACTTGGCGCCGTATTGGCGGCCCGCGTGAGCCACCGCGTGGGGTTGCTGGGTCCTATTGCACAACGCCTCCCCTTCCTTCCCCTCAGGTTTTAAGGACTTCCTGCTCAAGCCTGAGCTGAACCGTGCCATCGTGGACTGCGGCTTCGAGCACCCCTCCGAGGTGCAGCACGAGTGCATCCCGCAGGCCATCCTCGGCACCGATGTGCTCTGCCAGGCCAAGTCTGGCATGGGCAAGACGGCGGTCTTTGTCCTGGCGTGCTTGCAGCAGATCGATGCGAGTGAAAAGGTCGTCAGGACTATGGTGATCTGCCACACGCGTGAGCTCGCGTACCAGATCAAGCACGAGTTCGACCGCTTCGCCAAGTACTTCGCGGACGTGAAGTGTGGCGTTGTCTATGGCGGCGTCCCCATTAGCAAGGACAAGGAGATGCTGAAGGAGTCCTGCCCTCAGATCCTGATCGGAACTCCCGGCCGCGTCCTCGGCCTCCTCCGCGAAAAGGACCTGAAACTCGACAAACTGACGCAATTCGTGCTCGACGAGTGCGACAAGTGCCTGGACAAGCTGGACATGCGCAAGGACATCCAGCAGATCTTCATCGAGACCCCGAAGAAGAAACAGGTTATGATGTTCAGCGCCACCATGACAGCCGAGACGAGGGCGCTGTGCAAGAAGTTCATGCAGGACCCCCACGAGATCCGCGTGGACGAGGAGTCCAAGCTCACGCTGCACGGGCTCCTGCAGTACTACGTGAAGCTCTTGGAGAAAGAGAAGAACAGGAAGCTGAACGACCTTCTCGACGCCCTGGAGTTCAATCAGGTCGTCATCTTTGTAAAGTCCGTGCAGCGTGCCATAGCGCTCGACAAGCTGCTCGTGGAGTGCAACTTCCCCTCGATCGCCATCCACTCGGGCCTGAACCAGGAGGACCGCATCGCTCGATACAAGCAGTTCAAGGAGTTCCAGAAGCGCATCATGGTTTCCACCGACCTGTTCGGGCGCGGCATCGACATCGAGAGGGTAAACATCGTCATCAACTACGACATGCCCGAGGACAGCGACTCGTACCTCCACCGCGTGGGGCGTGCGGGGCGCTTTGGCACCAAGGGGCTGGCGATCACGTTCTCGGGATCCGACGAGGACGCCGAGGTGCTGAAGAAAGTCCAGGAGCGCTTCGAGGTCAACATCGGCGCGATGCCCGCCCAGATCGACACCACGTCCTACCTGAACGCCTGAGACTGTGCGCCCGCTGGTGGCCCGCGAGCCCATCCTCAGGCCTCTCCAGCCTCCTCCTCCTCCTCCTCCTCCTCCTCCTCCTCCTTCTCCTCCTCCTCCTCCTCCTCCTCCTCCTCCTTCCTCCTCCTCCTCCTCCTCCTCCTCCTCCTCGTCCATCTCTTCCTTCCTCCTCCCTCCTCCTTACCCCCCCTTGTATTCTTCTCCCTCCTGCTCCTCAGCAACGTGCCCTCCTCCTCCTCCTCCTCCTCCTCCTCCTCCTCCTCCTGCTCCTCCCCCCCTCCTCTCCGGGACGCCCCGTGGCCGCACCGTGCGACAGGCCTCGGCGCTCCCCCCCCCCCCCTCCTCCGGACCTCCCGGCATCCGGCCCCTCTGGCGCACGACGGCCCTGGTACGGCAGGCCCGCGCCGCCCCGGCGCGCCTTGGCGGCGGCCCGAGGCGCGGGCGTCCAGAGGTCCCGCCAAGTGGTCCCGGGAGTGGTCCGCGCACATCGGGGGCGGAGCAGAGAGTGGGTGATGACCTACGGTAGGTTTGCGTCGTGTCGACCAGCGGCGACCCCCGCGCGGACGTTCAAGGTTGAACGCCGCCAGCGACCCAGAACCGATCGATGTTGAACGATCGGACGTTGCGGCAGCGGCCGATCGTTCAAGGTTGAACGATCCCTGCGGTGTCAAAAACCAACGCTGGGGTCGGCACGACACGAACCTGCCGTAGGGGGGGGGGTGGACGTCATGGCGGGGGCCATGATATCTCCCCAGATTCTATGGCGCCTCTTTCTGTTTCATGACGTCCCTGGCCCCCCCGCTGGGCCGCGCACATGCCGCCGGTCATGATTTGCACCCCCCTCTTGGACACCCCCCTCTTGGCCGCTCCCGAACGTACAGTCGAGGCTGGCTAGGAGGTCGACCCTGCCAAATCACGACGGGTACCCTCGTGTCCTGGGCCTCGCGGCCCATGCTTCTACGTTTATTTGGCAGTGTGGCCCTCGGAAGAGTCTTGTGTCCTCTCGCGTGTCCTCTTCAATCCTCCCCGGCTGAACGGCAGGGACGACAAAAAAGCGCCGACGCATCATCATAACCCGGGGCGGGGGGGGGGGGGTCACCACGGACTCGTGCGCGGCAGATCAGTTTTTTGAAGACACCATTAAAAACGCACCCCCTGAGCCACAGTCAACCCGCATAGTAAGAATATCCAACCTTCCCAAGGGCACCCCCGCATCCCCGCCTCGTCGGTCCATCCTTCGCCGCTTTCGCTGGCCGCGCCCCGCTCAGAAAGCTTCTAAATGGGCGTCCAAGGCCCTTGCATCCTTATCGCGCATCCTTACTATACTGGTTGACTGCGCCGTCCCTTGTACGAACGGCCCGTTTGCAGGGGCTCGGGACGTCCTCCGAGCGCCTCGCGCCGTGGCGGAGGCTCAGCTGAAGGCTTTGGGCCACCTCTGGCCTCCAGGATCCCGATCGGGCCCCAGGGCCATAAAAGGGCAGAGTCGGGATGAAAAGCTGGTCCCGGGAGTGCCTCGAGATTTCTGGGGGTCCACGCAGCAGTGACAAAAATCACGACGTCGGGGGTCTGGGTCCGGGAGTCTCCGAAGCTGGACATCGTTCAACCTTGAACGGTTCATTCGGTGTCAGGAGCTGCTGGAGCCAACGTCGCCAGGGCAGGGACCTGCCATACCTTTCTCAAGGCTGCTTGAGCTGTGCGATGCAATATCTTTGGTGTGGCGCTTCAGCATTCCACGATCGCATGCTTGATCGCGTAGCATGGTTGAGCCACGAAAAAATCTGTCTGTACATCGTATCTGCTTAGACATATTCCCCTCGCTTCGCGGGGTGCACGTCCAGAGCACGAGCAGTCCAGTCGTTGCGGGCCTGGTGGGGGCCTCTTTCGGGCCTCTTGGAGGCCTCTTGGGTATTTATTGGGGCCTCTTGGGGGCTTCTTTGGGGCCTCGTGGGGCTTCCTGGGGGCGTCTTGGGCCGTCTTGGGGCGCTGTTGTGCCGTCTGGCCCCTTCGGAGGCCACCCTCTGTGCCTCTCGCGGCCGCCTTAGGGGCTCCCTTGGGGTCCTCTCTTGGGCCGTCTTGGGGGCCTCTTGGACCCTCTTGGGGGCCTCTTTGAGCCGACTTTGGGCCCTCTTGGGCCGTCTTGGGGTCCTCTTGGGGGCCTCTGGGGCCGTTTTGGGGCCATCTTGGAGGCTGTTTGGGCCGTCATGGACCTCCGAGAGCGGAAAGAGGCGACAACGCGAAACATCTGTCGAACACCATAGGGAAATCAATGCTTGTGGCCTTTGGAAGCGCCGCCGTGGGGGTCTCTTTGGGCCTCTTGGGGCCATCTTAGACCGTCTTGAAGCCATCATGAGCCGTCTTGAGGCCCTCTTGGACCCCCAAGGGGCCCAAGAGGCCGCGTCAACAGATTTCCAAAGGTTTTTGTACGTTTTTGAGGCCCAGAAGGGGACCACCATCTTTGCTATAATGGATGTGGCGTGGCTTATCGTATGCACGTACGGAAGTGACGTGCTGAGTGGCAGCGTTTCTCGGCAAACGCATTAATGCAGTGTATGGAATGTATCCCATGATTGCATAATTGCTACAAAGTGCATTGTGTCACATTCTCATGTCTCCCCCCTAGTCCTACCCTCATCCCGGGGCTCAAAAGCGTACCAAAACGTATGACACAGCGTCGGCCTGTTGGGCTTCTTGGGGACCCCAGGGGGCCCCAAGACGGCTCAAATGGCCGAAGTGGGAGGCAGCCGCGGAAAGGGTTCGATTCTCGAACGGCAAGAGTTTGGCGCTTTTCGACGACACGGCGGGAGTGTCGGAGCACCAGACAGCGGCCAAGCGGAGTGGTGCGAGTTTTGCAATGCATGCGCGGAGGAGAGGCAGAAAGTAACGCGGAGAGCGAATGCGGGGGCGGCGAACCGCAAGAAGGAGGTAAAGACGGATGGGACACCGCTTTCGTGCTGTGTGCCAGGTCGCGAGGAAACCTTTTGGGGCACGGAGTATTTAAAGTCCAAGCAGTCGGGGGTTTATCGGCGACAGAGAAGCGCCAGAGTGGCTTGTGGAGAACGTGACAAGCGGGGCGTAACCGCGAAGGGAGGAGTCGATGCGGCGAAGCGTGTGAAGCGATAGCTGACGTGCGCAGTGCGCGGGAAGGAGTTCCCGGGTCTGAGTCGCATGAGCGACAGACAGGAGAGTGATCATTTTACGAGGAAAAGTAACGTTGTATGCGCGGATTGCTAAGCCCTCGGGCTCGCGGTGCGGAATTGGCAAGCGTACATATGTTGGGGACCGTGCGGGAGAGAATTCCCGAAGTCCGCGTCTGCGGGAGGGAAGCACCGCACTCGGTCAGTTGAGATGACAGCCCTACAGTGCAAGACGTGCGCATGACGAAACAGAGATGCAACAACCTTGCCAATGGCCAGAAACGCGTTGGTCGCCCCCTCATGGCAGGGTCATGCGAAGCAGCAACATCAGCAAACAAACGTCGGGGGCCTTTGGGGGGGCGTTTTGGGTGCGTTCTGGTATTTTAAGGTTTTTGTTTGTTTGTTTTGCCTTTTTGCTGCCCCTAGGAGACTTCCCTGGGCTCTCCTTGGCGGTGCCGTGGAAGGTGCGGACGGAAGAGGGGGAGGATAGGGCAGATTTGGATGAAGCTGCGTAGAAGTTCGAGACCTCAGTTTTTTTGGCGCGTCTGGTTGTTTTGCGTTTCCAGGCCGCTCTTCGCGCCATTGCTGCGCTCCCTTCGAAATTCCAGCCCAGGCGCACCCCTGGATATGCATGAGCGTGGTGTGCCCGACCTTTTCGCGTCGCGAGGAAATCATGACGGGAGGTGTCCGCGATTTCCAAGTGCCGGGGCCGTCGGACAACGGTTCGGGGTGAAACGCCGGTCGGGGGGAAGGTCTCCAGATTTTTGGCTGTCAACGCTGTCAAAAATCAGATGTCGGAGATCGGGATCTTGAGGTCGGTCCACGGGCAGCTATGTTCGCGCGTCCCGCCGGAGGGGGACAAGAAAAGGGCGAGGCAATCGGGAATGTTTGGGGCTTCCGCAAGTTTTCCCAGGTTTTCTGGGGTGGGCGGAGATTCTCGGCCGCTGTCGAGGGCTCCTGGAGGATCTCGGACCCAGAGATCCAAAGTGTCTTGATGTTTTGAAGATGCATTGCCTGGAAAACCCGAACACTTCCCTGGGATCGTTTGATGAAGCCTCTCGGGGGCCTCGTGAACGCAGTTGTGAAGTTTCTTGGGGTTTGGTTTGGGGCCCGTTGGCGCGTCTTGGGGGCCTCTTGGTGGCCTCGTTGGGCTGATGGGGAGCCTATTCAGGACTCCTGGTTACATCTCGGGGCGAAATGCTCGAAGTGTCAGTTCGGGCTGCCGCTCTTGGGCATCTCTTGGGGGCCGTTTTGGGGCGGTCTTCGGCGCTTCTTGGATCATCGTCAATGCCTTGAAGGCCGAGAAGTCATACATGCTGAAAGTGTGCGTTTTCCCACATGGATCTTGACGTTTTTTGCCTCGATAACTCATCTTGGGAATGCTCTTGGGAGCCTCTTGGGGCGTCTTGGAGGCCTCTTGGCCCGTTCTGACGCAATCGTGGGCGTTCGGCCACTCAGGCTTGGGGCCGTCTGAAAAGCCCTGGTGACCGTCTTGGACACCTTGGAGGCCGTCTTGGAACGCCCAGACAGCGCCGGGGGAGTGCGGGGGTGGACCACCCGGGGCCCGGGGGCGGGGGTGAAAGTACTGGTTTGGGATCCCGTGGGGGGATTAGCTGGGGGTAAGAATCTCACGCGCCAAATTAGAGATGCACAAGGGGTCAGCGGATACATAACATGTTTTCGTGATCATCGCGCGTCCGTCCAGTTCTGAGCTCTGGTCTGGGCGTTGTTGTGGTCGTCGTCTTGTCGGAGCAGCCCCGCCTTTATGCGCAGGCGTGTGCAGAGCGTGACGAGCAATCCGAGTCGATACGCAGCCTTCATGCGTGCTGAGGCGAAAACCGCAGATGAGGCTCGGCGTTGGCTCAA